AAAACTGTGCAGGTGCTATGCCTAGGAATGGGAATAGGCCGGGCCGCCTGTCAAGTGCCTACGCCTTTTTATTTAAATAGAATAGGCTTAGGCTTAAAAAAAAAATAAAATTAATTAACAGACCAACCTACTTAATATTATTATTTTTTTATAAAAATACTTTTTTATAATTATATATTAAAGATAACTTTCTATCTAATAATAATATTTATCAAATAATTTTAATTATAAATTTATTATAAAAAATAGAATTTTTTAACTTTTGTATATATTAAATAATTGTTTATACTTTATTTATTTTTTATTTCTAACTAAATTTGCAGATAAATAAATAAATAAAAATGTTATATAGTTTTTTAAATAGGCTTGTAGGTCAAGTCAGACTTTTAAAAAGGCCAGGCTCGGATTTAAAAAAAAAAATTCAGACCTAGAGGCCAGGTTTAAACCAAATATTTTTAAAACAGGTCTCGCCTGACCTATTTTCATCCCTAGCTATGCCCATCTGGGCCTTCTTTGATTTTCCCTTAGTTAACGAGAGTATAAAAACTTAAATAATAAAAATTTAAATATTAAAATAGATTTCAATTTATTTACTATTCTTACAAAAAATAATTATTTATTTTCTTAAAATATTACATCTAAACCATCATGCGATATAATATAAATATGTATTGGACGCAATTTTATTTTTTAATAAAAATACATATTTAGTATTCTCTGTCCTAAAATAATAGTTTCATATTTCAATTTTTGTCGGTCCCAAAATAATAGTCTAATTTTTATTTTTGGCAACTAATTCTCCACATTTTTTACAAAATTATCCTCACTTTTTAATAATAATTACCAAAAATAAGAGTATTTTAGAGTATCTCTATTGTTTTTGGACGGATGAAGTATAATATTTAAATAAAATATATGTATCGGATATGATACATGTTTGTCTGGTTTTAATTTGAGTTTAGGATTTTAACTTGAATTTTAGTTCAAATATTATTTTAATATCATATTTGGGAAAAAAAAATATATTTTTATTGAAAATTATACCGACTTAATAATATTAATAGATTTGAAATTGTAACTATACATATTTTTAACAAATAATACTAAAACTTTCAGATATATATATATAAACCGAACCCAAAATTGATCACTCGTATGATACGAACATATTTTAATAAAAATAATTGTCACATTGGAAAAATATATCTTACATATGTTATTTTTTCGTAATTTTCATCCTCTAGTCACGCGTCGGATACAATCGTTGTGACACGTATTCTGCCGATGTCGGTGCGAGTAAGATTGTGCTATGGAGGATGAAAATTATGAAAAAGTAATACCTGTAGAATATATTTTTTCACAGTGATAATTAAAAAACAAAAATAATAATTAGTCATAGGGATATTTATTGCAATTTTTTTTAAAAAAAATAATAAATATTTTCTGTGTCCTTCAAATTTATACTCCAGCCATTCCATTTTAAATGATATAGTTGATTAGAGTAATTGGTTTTATTGGAAACTTGTGGAGTAATCAAATCTCATATATATACATATGGGAGCAACACCTTTTTTTTCTTAAGTGATAGACACATGGGTCTATTAAATGCTATACCTCAAGGGTTTGTAGGATGCAATCACACAATTTTTTATTATTTTTTATGGATTATATTATTTAAAAGTTAGCGCGGTTGAAATATATTACCTATTAGACTAAATGACTATTAGTGAATTTTATGACTTGACACAATCGATTTGGGTATCCTAACAATGTTATGGTCACGCGAATTATTGAAAATCCAAATGATTATTCATTAAATATATATATATATATATTGAGTCTGAATTAATTCACTTGTGCTGCCTATTCCGAATGAAAGTCAATAATTAAACATCTTCAACAAAAGTTGGAATTGGATCTCTAGCTTTCTTAGAATCCATTTAGGGTGACATTTTTTAAGACATAGATCCGCAGTGTAAATTTTTTTAAATACTTTATGATACTAAATGATGTGTCTATGCGATGGTCTATTATCTATTCATAATCTAGCTTTTGTTAGACTACTTGCATAATAATTAAATGGAGAGTTGTATTAAAATCCATGTTAGAGAAACTCAATTGTAATTCCATCCCTATTAGAAATCAATTAGACTGCAGTCCCTACTTTATGAATTAGATTTAATATATCTTCTCAATTTGTATTTCTCTCCTAATCACCGTTGTATACGCAAAAAGGTACTCGAAATAAATTGATCAATACTTCTAATGTCGTAATGTATACCTACATTACTTTCCGCTCTACCCCCATTATAATCTTATATGTTCCTAGTTAAATATCGCGTACCTTTTTTTGTGAATTAAAAAAATAGTAAAAAAAGACAGTTACCCACGATTTAACAGGAGTTGAGGAAAAAAAAATCTCCCATAACTCCCCTCACCCCGATTTCATAGCACTTTTTATTCATAACATAGTTGTAAAATTATTGAGTTTATTCAAAATATACAAGAATTAATGTTTTTTTTGAAAATAATATAAATTTACACTCAAACTTAATTATTTTGCATTGAACCATTTGTTAGATCAACTGAAATTGAATTTTTATTACAGAAAACATCATCCGTTTAAGAAAACTAAAATATATTCATTGATGAAATAAAATTCAAATACATTGATATGAAACTAAAATAATTTATTATAATATTAAAAGAGCAAAATAAACACAAGCATTTAAAAATTATCATATTTTATAAAAAAATCAAAAGAATTGGTAATTGTTAAAACAAAATGATACTTATATGTTAATGAAATAGATATGTTGAAAATTAAAGCAGTATTTCTTTTGTAATTTTTTTTTGTTTTTAACAACGTAGGAATTCGTAAAAAAAGTGTAGTATAAATTAAGAAAAAATTACAAAAATATTTTTATTAGTGTCTTATAATAGTAATAAAATGACATTTGTATAAAAAATTATACAAATATAAGAATGTATATAATATTAAATACAATGACGCAAAAAGGTAAATATGACCCTTAAAATCGAACGAAGGAATTATTATATTAACATTGTAATTTCTATTTTCGTTGATTGCCTCGTGCATAGCACCTCTGTCAAACCCTATCTCTATCCCCAACCCCAACCATTTCTACACTGCTCCTTCCCCAACTTCCTCCCCTTCTTCTTTATTTCTTTTGTCCACCCCCGCACCATGCAGTGATAGAACTAGCTTTTGAATTTTAAGTTGTCAAATTTGTTATGTTATTTTTATGTTTATTGTTTTCTATTTAATTTTAGTTTTAACATATTTTGAACCGTTAATATTTTTTATTTTATTTGAATCGGTGGTTAAATTATTTATATGTAAAAAAAATTAGAAAAATCTACTCATCAATTCACTATAATTAATTCAACGACACTTTATTTTTTTCTTATTTCATTTGACATTATAGTGAAATTACGAAAATAAATAAATAAATAGAAATAAGAAAAAAATATATATATATATATGGCTGTAGTAGCATTTTGAATAAAAATTTATATTTATTTATGTAAAATATTTATAATTAAAATGATTATATAATATTATAAATTTAAAAATAACGAATTTAGGAATAAAATAGAGTAAATTATTTGAATTAGGTGGCAAAATTACATAAATAGAGTAGAAAAAAAACTTATTTTTACTTTAAAAAAACTGCATCCAATTTCCAAAAAAATTCAAACTTTCACACGAGAAATACAAACAAATTCAGTGTATTAACTTCTCACTCCATATAATAAATAAAAAAATTTGGTTGGATTAATATATCTATATATATCAACAATGGACTACATGGGCAAGCCCAATAAATTAAATTAAATTTTACAAAATTTAATTTTGAATTTGAATGTTAATTGACTCATTCATGTCAATTATTGGATAAATGAATTTTGTTGTGAAATTGTTAAATACGTGCATTACATCACTAGGGTGTAAATCAATTTTTTTTTTGGCAAAAAAAAAATAATAATAATCTCGTAGGATTTCCAAAAACCAAAATTTTTTTTCTCTGCAATCAAATATAACTTTTTGTTTTCTTGATTCGGTTCGCGAATCTGTAATTACGTTAAATTCTTTCTATCATGGGAGCGATCGGTGGCGACCGAATTCGCTTCAAAGAAATTGCATCTATGCGATGCTCGGATTTGATTTATACTTAATATTCGATTTCAGTATTATCTTATCTGTAACTTTGATTTTGTCATATCTCAAATTCGTCGTACAGGTACAACGGTAGTTCCGTAGTTCCCCTACACCCTTACTGAGGTCTCCGTCCAGAGTCTCACATAAATTGTTCAATTTTTTTATTTTATTTTTTTAAAATTTTTTTCTGTTCTGCATAATTTATTTATCTTTTAAAAAAATATAATTACATATTTTAATTATATTTTAAAATTCATAATTTATAATTTATTTTAATCTATGTTTTATTAATATATTTTTAATTATTTAATAATTATAATTTATCTGACAATTTATTGATGACTGAGAAAATAATAATTATTTTTATATTATTATTATCACTATTATTATTATTATTATTATTATTATTATTTAATTTTCTTCTTTTCAATTCTCTTTTCTTTCTCCTCCTTAATTCTCCCTTAGCTTACACCAATGGTAGAAAATAGGAGTTTATTCTGACATTTTTTTTTGATATATTTTCTCATATTATCTATTTATTGTTTTTTCTTCTTCCGCCCAGATCCTTCTCGGTTGTATGCTTTCGCCGTCTATGTCTACGTCTCAATTCACCGGTCAGAACATTTTTCCAGGTTGAAAAAATAATGGCATAAAACAACTCAAAATGCTATATTAAAAATAAAAAAATAAAAATAATTTGGGCAAAATAAACATAGACAATATTTAATGGGTCGTAATGGGCCGAAAGGCCCACCTACTTCATGCCCTACTGTCAAACCTTCAATAACCAATACATGTGGTCTGTCTGTCTATGAAGTGATATGCGGAGCGGATGGATTCAGTTCCCGGCTCTGAAACGATTCCTCCCCTGGCTCCGCCGAAGGCCACGGCGAGTCCCGCGGAGAAGACGTGGGGCAGAAGAGTCTCAGAAGAGGTCATTTCAGTCTATAATTCTCTTCCGAAGAAGGGGAAGCCTCAGGGAAGAGAAGTCACCGTTTTAGCCGCTTTTCTGCTCTCCAATCCGTCTCAAGGTTAGTAGCATTATTCGCTGCAGTGGGAACTGAAACTATACGGTATTGTTGATTCTGATCGTGGAATTTATGTTAAGAATTACAAGTGGTGGCTTTGGGGACGGGCACGAAATGCATTGGGCACACTCGGCGGAGTTTGAGAGGCGACGTTGTTAATGATTCACATGCTGAAGTTATAGCCAGAAGATCTCTTATCAGGTTGAGACCTCATTTTCTGAAAATAATGTTTTCTTTATTTTGTTTGTGTGTGTGTGTGTGGAAATTAAGTGGTAAATGCTGTTCTTCGAAGTCTTCCTGAAGGAAACATCTGTTCATTCATGGAGGTGACGTTAGTCATTTGCTACTCACTTGATGACCATTAATCAATATTATCTTAGTAAAAGTTAGTATTAAATTTCACAGGTATTTGTACAAACAGATTGAAATCATCACAAATAAGTTTAGAAAGCTCAACCATACTAATGGAAACTTGAAGTTGAGAATTGATGACGAGAGCATCTCGGCTTTCTCTTTTAAATCAGAGCAACTCAATCAAGGAAAACTCAAATTGAAACCAAATTGGCAGCTGCACCTATATGTTTCACAATTGCCATGTAGGTAGATGTGCTGCACTTGGTCATTTGTGCCGTATGATCTACCCTAATTACTCAAATATTATGATTAATTTGTATTTTTAGGTGGAGGTGCATCTCTCAATTCTCAGATGTTTACATCTCTCAGCAACAGTTCTTCAGAAAAAAGTAATATAGAAAACTTCACTCAAGAATGCTCTGCAAGGCAAGATGGTAATTCTGGTCATTTTCACTAATCTGTGTTTTGACTAATTATCTATAATAGATTGCCTTTGCATTAAAATATGGTTCTCTTCTGAATGAATATATTGATAAAATCAAGGTTTCACCTCCAGTTTCTTCTTCTGAAGTTACTGGCTCAGTTCATAGGAAGCCTGGTCGAGGAGATACTACTCTGTCTGTGAGCTGCTCTGACAAGATTGCTCGCTGGAATGTTGTTGGAGTTCAAGGTTCACATCTGGCTATTCTAATTTATCTTGTGTCGTTTTATCAGTGAAATTTAGGGTATTTCATGCCTTGAATGCTTCTTACTGTTATAGACATCTCAATTGCTGTGCTGTGTCTGATGCATGGCAATTCTTTCCTAGCAATTGACTGAATATGGCAAGTGATAATCTTTAACTGGTTTATGAGATCTGAAGATATTGTGAGAAAAGGCCTGTTTGAAGGTTCTATAGGGCAATATAGGTTGAAATTTGGCTTAATGTGGTAGTTTGGTAAATTATATCCTGTCCTGCTATATTTACCCCCTTGATGAAAAAAAGCACTGTCAGTCTTTGGAGATACACCTTCCAGATGATTACTTTCTGTTGAAATTAAAATTGTAACGCAGCAGTTTTACATTGGAATTTGCCCTTATAGGAAAAACATTGGAATATCAAAGAAGTGCTGATAATTGCATTTATATTGAAATCATTGGTAAGATTTGTTTTGACTGGACATTTTCTTTGGCTCAGGAGCACTACTCTCCTGCTTCCTGGAACCAGTTTATATATCCTCTGTAACAGTGGGTATATCGCAATTCGATTCTGGAAACTTTGCAACTAACCAACTTAGAAGATCTTTACATGAACGGGTTCTTCCCTTGGCTGACCATTTAATTGAACCCTTTCGAGTGAATAAGGTTGTGACGGAATGTCCACATGCCTGTAGCATAGAATTTTTGAAGTATCTCATAAAATTTTATTGTCTCTTTGATTGACAGCCACTCTTCTTTGTAGCTCCAACGCCGCCTAAGGAATTCCAACATTGTGAGACAACTCTTGAAACCTTAACTTGCGGGTGAGCACTATATTCAATGCAGTAAAATTGCTTTCTCATAGTTTTCTCTGGGTTTGTAATCTCATGTATGTGTAGGTATTCAATATGCTGGAATACTTCTGGTTTGCATGAAGTTATTCTTGGAACAACTGGTAGAAAACAGGGAACCTCTGCAAAAGGTGCACTATCCCCGTCTACAGAGTCTTCTTTATGCAAGTAAGTGTAAAATATTACTATCAATCTATTAGAGTTAGAATTTCCTGTTCCCTGTATATATTGTTGAATTCTACATTGTCATATTGTGGGTAAGGTAATGCTCTCGGTTAGCCAACAAAGAGTGAAATCCAAATATATATTTGGACTTGATACTTTGAATTGGGAAATAAAAAATCTCCTAAATTCGAATAAAAGAGCACTATAGAGTTTAAAAACAAGTGACGTAAATGGTGATCCTCAAGACAATTTATGTTTGGTTTGAGGATAATGGAGAAGGGAGGGGAGGGGAGGAAAAAAATTACAATGACCTCGTTTGGTTCTTTTTTTTCTAAAGGATCTGTTTGGTTCAAATGAGGGAAGGGGAGGGAAGGGATTTTAATGGAAGGGTGGGGAGGCAAAGGATAAGAGAATATTAAAATTGTAATAGTGTGTTTGATTCATATGGAGAAGAGATGAGGGAAAATAGTATTTTTGGTAGCTATTTAAAGGCACACATTGGCTATGGAGGTTGCAACTTCTTGTTATTATTTGCAACCGTCATAAGACTTTTGTGGAGAAAGGTAAGTTTGTATTCAAAATAACTATCTATTTATGATGGTGGGAACCGCTTCAAAAAACTTGAGTGCAAACAACCAACGCTTTGATAAAGATGTGGCAGTTTGGAGACAAAGGAAAAAACTGCCCCGATGGGTCATGTTATAGAATCATCGGATCTGATTGCACAGGTAGAATGATGATATGAAAAATGAGTTATTGTGAGATCCATTTCACGTCAGATTCATTTTCAGTATCACCGAATCAAATTGTTTGACTACAGCGCCCAACTAATTGTGCAAGAGATTGTTAGGTATGCGATGACGTCTTATCTATTCAATATGCCAGTGACTGAAAAACATGTTGGTATTTACATTCTTTAATTAGCATTTCTTCAAATGCTTCAATATTCATTGCCAACCTTGTGCTATCCCTGAAATCTCGATCTGTCTTTTTCGTCTTCTTAACTCTCAAATCAAATTTGTGTTTCTTATATCTTCTTCCAATGTTGTACCAACAAGACGAATGGGAAGTTATTCCACTGTTAGAGCCAACCCCCAAAAGTATCCATATAGTACATCATTTTTTCTTATCCGTAGATGAAGCGGTAGAATTGGTAAACCTAAGTTTAGCTGTCTATGATCCTGATTCCTAACCCAAAAATAACAAAGATAGAATGAAGAATACCCTTCATTCGAGTATCAGGGTTGGCATGTTATAATGCACCAAGTTTTTAGAGATCAATGGCGAGTTTAAGTCATTGATCAAACCATTTAGCTTTTGACTCAGATTTTCTCTCCCGCAGCCGTTAATGGCGATGGCTGCATTTTTGCAACGTGGCGACAGACACATTTTTATTCTTACATTCCGATGACCCCCACATTTTTAGTCGTAGTTTTCAGTGCATCACTACATGTGGTTGGTGGAGATCCAATCATTGGCACCTTACCCTCTGAAAAACACCCGTAGAAAACTGCTTGGATGCAGTTTGTGTTGAGCACTTTTGGTACTCCTAGTTCAGCTCCAACAACAAATGAGCACGTCATTTTTCTTTTATTTTGGCTGAACAAGTATATGATTTGTTTAAGTAGAAAGTTCATTTCTTTTGTTTCTATTGATTTAACAGCCCACATTGCTTCTAAACGGGTACGCATCAAGTAAGGTCTAATATTGCATCGAGGCCACCTTTTTTTTTTTTTTTTTTAAATGACGTGGGAACCTACAACCGCTACCCGAAAGTGTGCACTGAGTAAACCCTTGGCCGAACCTAATACTCTGCAAACTAGGTCCGACAGGCAAGTCATACTAAGCGAACCATATGTGGCAGGTGACCTGAGGCATCGAGGGTTTGAACCCATGACCTTACGGTCACACGTCCAATCCCCACACCACCAGGCCATTTTGATTCCTGGGGCTGTGGTTTCAAGTATATTTTCCCAATGCTTTTTTGGCCTTCCTATTCCTTTAGTAGTTGAACCTAGATCATTACACTTCTCCTATTCCATCAGAGCCACTCTGTTTGATTCCTGTCCCGATTCAAGGTTCTTTATGTGTATAAATTACATTTTTTCCCCCCTTTATCCCTTTTAGTTTAACATTCTTCTCTTATCCTTCTAAAAATCTCCTTTATCTGAAATATTCAAGATTGTGGGATTCAATTTTAAAACCCAGGAAAAAGGTAGAATACAACAGGAATATATATTATGTTTGAGTTATACATGCCACATTTGGTGGTGCATTAATTTGGCTGTTGTCAAGGCCTCCCACGAGCCATTCCAAAGTTCCACTGTCTAATTCGAGACCCAAATGATCTTTTAGATTCTCTGGGGTAACTGGCGCATCGAACATATAAAACGTCATCGCATGCCTAACAAGCTTTTGTGCAATGTGTTAGAATTAATTACTTCATTCTAAAGATGAAGCTTTGGAAGTCTTTAAAATTTTTTTTGTTATACGGAAAGTAAATTAAGATCGTAAGATTTTATAGTGGTGGTGGGTAATATGGTAGATACACGGAAAATGAACAAGGTGTTGGTCCATTTGCGAATTTTATTCAAGAAAATTGGATTGTTGTCCAATACACTATGCCTGGTTCTCCAAAGTAGAATGATGTTCCAGAACAAAAAAAAATGTAAGATTTCCTCCAATCTTGTGGATCAAAGCACTAAAGACGGCTGCATATATATTAAACCGGATACCAACCAAGGTTGTCAAAGACAAATTTTGAATTATTCAAGGGTTGAAAGCCGAATATGTTACATATACATGTTTGGGGATGTCCATTTGAAGTGGTAATTTATAATGCATAAGAAAAATAAACTAGATTTAGGACTATTAGTGGGTATTTCATTAGAAATGTTGAAAATTCCAAAGGATATAGGTTCTATTGTTCATCACATAGAACGAGAAATGTCAAATTTCTCAAGAATGACTTGAGCACTGGGATTGATGATTTTCAAGATACTAATTCTGAAAGGGATCACTATAAGGCTCAACCCATTGAATCAGTGATAGGTTGGTTATCATCCATGCACCCTAAGTTCCAACAAGTGTTACAATCAACTAATGAAGTTCCCTAAGTTGTTGAAAATGATCATGTCGATCAAGTTAGGAAAGAACATCAAGATAATGTTGCACAATTTGCTAGTGACTCGGTTGGACAACAAGTCCTTCAATATGATAATGAAACATCGAGAGGATCTACAAGAGTCAGAAGGACAATAATTTCTAGTGATTTTATGGTGTGTATCTGCAAGAATCGAACTACAATATAGAAATTGCAAATGATCTTGAAACATTTTCACAAGCCATGAATTCTAAAAAATCTAATTTATGGCTAATGCTTTGAAAGATGATGATTTCTAAGGGGCATCAAACAAAGTTTGCAATCTCATTGAATTGCTTGAAGATGTAAAAGTTATCGAATGTAAATAGGTCTTCAAAACCAAAATATACTCTAACGGAAACATTGAGAGACATAAAGCTAGAGTTGCCAAATGATTCACTCAAAGGAAAAGAACCAATTACACCGAAACATATTCTTGAAATCTAAGAAAAATTCCTTTTATGTGATCATGGCATTAGTAGCTCAATTGGATTTTGAGTTGCATCAAATGGATATAAAAATATATTTCTTAAATGGTGACCTAGAGGAAAGGTTTACATGAAACAATTTGAAGGGTGCACCTCTTGTGATACAGAAAACTTAATTTGTAAGTTTAATAAATTTATATATGGATTGAAGCAAGCTTTCCGCCAATGGTATTTGAAATTTTATGATGTGAACACTTTATTCGGTTTTTAAAAAATGTCACGGAACACTGTATCTACCAAAAGGCTAGTGGAATTGTATTTGTGTCGTTATGCTATATGTGGATGATATTATGCTTGCAACTAATGATAAATGTATTTTATATGAGGTGAAACATTTTCGTTCAAAGAATTTTGATATGAAAGATACGAGAGAAGCATCTTAATTCTTATATCATTGGCATTAAGATCTATAGAAATAGAAATCGAGGCATTTTAGGTTTGTCTCAAGAAGTCTATATCAACAAAGTTGTAGAAAAATTTAACATAAAAGTTTGTACACCGAGTGTAGGGTTTTAGGGTAATAGACTCAATTTGAGTCAATACCCGAAAAATGATTTGAAATGGTACATATAAGAAATATTTCTTATGCTTTGCAATTAGAAGTCTTATGCATGCTCACGTTTGCACTAGGCCTGACATACATATGCTAATGGAGTATAATGGAGTATTAAGGAGGTATCAAAATAATCTAGGTTTTGACTAGCAAAGAAAGTGAGAGAGGCCTTCAAGGTACAAAAGACTTCATGCTCATGTATAGACAAATTGGTGTTTCAGAAGTGATAGGCTACTCCGATTCAAAAGAGCTATTATTCTTTTTTTATTTTTTTTTTATTATTATTTTTTTTTTTACGTGAAAATCCGCAGCTGCTATTCTTTGAGTGCGCTCTAGTTAAACCCCGACCAAATCTAATAGCTTGCAGACTAAGCCCGGCAAGGAAAGTCACAATAGGTGAACCATGTGTGGCAAGCAGGACTTGGAGGCACTAGTGGTTTGAATCTATGACCTCACAGTCACAAGCTCACCACCACACTATCCAGTCATCCCTTACGGACTTGGTGGAGCTATTTTTTGGAGAAGTGTGAGGTAGTCTATCGTTGCCATTTCCACTATGGAGGCTAATTTTGTTTCCTGTTTTGAGGCCAACTTACATGGTGTATGGTTGAAAAGTTCTATATTCGGGTTTAGAGTCGGTGATTCTATTTTTAGGCTAATTAAGTTGTATTGTGACAACTCTGCTATAGTATTTATGGCAATAAAACTGGGAGTCGAAATAAGTATGTCACATCAAGTATTTAGCCAGAAGAAAGCGTGTTAAAGAAACTAAGGTGGTCATCGAACATATAAGTGCAAAGTTGATGATTGTTGATCATTTGACTAAAGGCATGCCGCTAAACAATTTCAAGGATCACGTAGCACGTATGGGACTAGATTCCATGATGTAATTTATTTTGTGTACATTTGCTATTGAAATTGTTGCTCAATTTGACTTTCTCTCGTATAATTGTGCACATATTTGTTTGTTCTTGAGAAAATTCATTTAATTTAACCATAAGGTGGCGGCATATTTTACGAAAAAAACCAGGCAGTTTTCTATTCAACTGAAGCGTCATATACAATTACATGTGCACACTTCTTACAAGAAATCCAACTCCAAATTCTCTTCATGATTGCCTTCCTACTTGCATCCCTTTTTGTAACCCCACATTTATTTATCCTTAGGAAGCGTCTACTGGAGTTATTTGTATCGTTAAAGCAAGATTGTTTGCCAGAGTGTTGCCTTAATCAGATCACTTACGGAGAACTCAAGGTATATTAAACATCTTGGTGACTCTATGTGACTTTACTGGTAACATTCATCAACATTTGAATTGTTGCATATTGTATTTTATATAGAGAAAATAATGCAGCTGTCGAATAACCATTATTGATATTCATGTTGATACACAAAATCTCAAATTTTGCCGTAACGGATTCTGTGTTATGCCATAAATTGAACAATGTCCCATCAAATATTTATTCTTCCTATCCCTTTTAGCATTTGGACGACATCATATTTCCCTCTGCCCCGCTGTTTACGAATTGTGCCTTTACAAAATTGGAAGTGTGAAGATTGCTAAATCATGGATTTCTTGCTAAAGTCAGACCTTTATTTTATTTATTTATTTATTTATTTTAGTGCCACAATTTACTCTTTGCTTTTTTATTTCTCTTCCTGGCTCTTGAATTTGATTGATGCTGACTGCATGCAACATTTTGTGTAACCTTGGTGTTGTAAGAAAATTAAGGCTTTTTAAGTTTTGAAGTTTTAAAAAAATTTGAATGTATTAAAGTTGCTTCTTTTTTTTTTTTTTTTTAATTACCTTTTATGAATAATGTAAAAGTGTCTCATGTAGACAGATTTTTGGGGGATATTTTTAATGGTAAAAGTTTTGGTAAGAATTATAGGGGTCTTTTTTTCATACCAGTCTTTTTGGTGAGATAGTGACCAAATGCTCGAATTTTCCAATCTGCTTCTAATTAATCCTCCATAATAATTAACATACATATATATATATATATTCATATATTTTTCCAAGTTTCAGGGATCTTGCGAAGAATACAATGCAGCTTTGAGGGCGTTTAAAGAAAGTGGGCATTTTAGAAACTGGCTGGCGAAACCCCACAATTTAGAGTTATTTTGGCGACATTGAGATCGTTAATTATATATATATATATATATATATATTAATTTTGTAATGACGTTCTTTCGTTTATAAATTTATTTTTTTCCGTTAATGATATTAGAGACAAAATTAGAGATAAATTTAATTTAGTTACATTAACTTTAGAAACGAAATTTCGTTATAAATATACTATTTTTTTGTAGTGCTTACTCGACTCGACCAAGTTGTTGTCATGTTAAAGTTATAATGAGTTCCTTGTGGTCGGTCTTAATTTTTCATGTTCGATTTCAGAGTTTTTATTATACAAAATTTATGATTTTCAATAAAAATATATTATTAATTTATATATATATATATAAAATATTACATGAGATTACTATTTAAACCAAAAAATTAAATTTAAAAACTCAAACAAATTAAACATTTTTCAATCGAAATTTTGTATTATATATATATATTTAAATTAAAATTTTATTATTTAAAATATTGGTGTAACACTCAAGCATATGCAAACAAACACGCTAACAAACCCCACCCTCACGTGTTCGACTCGTGTTGAAAACTTCCTTGGACTTGACAATAATCTTTCTTGCAGTTCCGGTTCTACTCCCACTTATTTATTTTTATGAATTTATTCAAATAGACACATGGAAAAGCATGGAGATGTGTGTTTCTTTAGTTTAGTTTTTCCAGATTTTAATGTTTGAACTATGTGGTTTCAATAAAAATATATATATATATATATTTTTTTTCTCATAAAACATTCAATAAAATATTATTTTAATATCAAACTCAAACTAATTTTTTTCAAACTCGATGAAAAGAAAACACCCTAAAATAAATTTATTAATTTATATATAAAGGACTAATTTATGGACATGAGTCACGAGTCTTGACCTCAACCCTCAAGAAATTTAGGGTTTATTTAAATGGGCAATTCCATTCCCATGCCAAAGCCAAACCAATAATTCCAAAATCCCCACCTATCACGCCTTTAATTTTTGCTGCTGCTTCTTCTTCTTCTTCCTCACAATTAATTAATTAATTATTTATTTATTCAATTCCTAAATTTGTAGCACTAATAATCTGTTATATTTCTCATCATTTATGACTGACTATTAGTGGACCTGATTTATGGTTGAGAGAAGATTCAAATGGTGGAGGATTTAATTAAATTAAATTAATTCATATCAATTAAGTTGCTTAATTGGAATAACAAAACAAATCTTAGACTACAATTTATATGGAAACATGTAAATATATATATATATTCTCAGTTCAAACCTCTTCTAATTGAATATATGTGGACCTTAATTAATTAATTATTTGAGTAACTGTAAGCTGTTATATATAGTATTCAGAATTATTCTTATTAATTACTCATTATATATATATATGTGTATATATATATTTATATTTGTTTATTATATAAAAAAAAATAATAAAAAAAAAACCCCATAATGCATTATTAATGTAATGTTGAGATTCAAAACTGAACAGTAATATTAAGTGGTATAAAAAGAAATAAATAAATAAATAATGAATGAATGAATTAAGGGTGTTGAGTAAAATAGTCAATAGCTTGTCCTAAACGTACAGAATTGGCATTAAACAAAGTGCAATAATAAGTCAAGAGTTCTTAACAAAGAAGAAGAAGAATTTGGTTTCTGCACCATACCCTTTTGGACAAGTGCTCTCTCATTGCATTTATTTATTTATTAATGCTAATTACTTTGCCTTATTAACTGCATATATAATCTCTATTTCTGTCTGTGTCTCTCCATAATTATATATATATATATTTGATTTTTCAATAAAATTGTTAAAAAGGGATTGAATTGAAGGGCATGGAGAAGAGGAGACAAAGATGAAGAAAGGTGCAAATTTATACAGAGAATCAAAGTGGTGGAATTGTTGCAAATTAATATCATCACCACCTTCTTCTTCATGTTTCGACAACAAACCCTCCAAAATTATTGCTCTCTTCATAACTTCCCTTCTCTTACTCACTGCTTGGATTCACTTTGTAAGTCTTCTTCTTCTTCTTCTTCTTCTCTATAGAGCTGTTAACGATCCGATCCGAGCCGAGCCAAATTTTAAGTGTTCGTTAATGTTTGCGAATAAGGCTCGTGTTCGTTCGTTAAGCTTTCGAGCTCGTTCGTATTGTTCGAGCTCGGCTTGTTAAGAATTTTTGTTGTTTGAACTTGTGTTCGTATTCGGCTCGATTCAGCTCATTCGAGTTCGTTTGAGCTCGTTTGTCTTATTTTTTTAAATATATATATAAATTATAAAGAAAATTTAAAATTATTTTATTTATATATTTTAAATTAATATTTTATTTATTTATAAATTATAATTTTATATGTATATATAATATTTATAATAAATATATTATTTAAACGAATTCGTTAATCAAATGAGTCTGTTATGTTATTCGGCTCGACTCGTTAACGTTCGCGAACGAGCTTTAACCGAACCGAATCGAGTCGAACCGAGTCAAGTTCACGAACGGCTCGATTCGTTTAACAGCACAGACCCGTGTGGGTGTGTATATACACATATAGATCAAGAAATGTATAGGAACAAGTTTAACCTTGTTAAGTGATCTTCTTTCTTTCATATTCATACATACACATTTCAAGAAATGTATGTTCATCACAAAAACAAGGTTTGCCTTGTAATTCTTGTGTTTATTTGATTTTTTGTTTGAATATGAGTATTTATTTTAATTTTATTTAAATAATATTTTGATATGATTTTTACAAAATAAAATAATATATTTTTATTAAAAATTATTATATAAACTGAGTAATGGGGATTTTGATTTAGAATTAAAATCAAACAAACCTTTCTTCCATAGTTTCACTAATGTGCATATGTGTAGGTATATATGCATCTTCCGGGTAACGTGTCTTTTATTTTATTATTTTTCAGTTCTTATCTTTTGTTTGAAATCTTATTAAATTAGCCTTCATTTATATAGAAATTATAAATGTTTTAAAGTTTTAAAAATAATAAATATTTGATATTTGATATGATATTAAAAATAATAATAATAATAAGTTGAGTAATGAATAAATATATTCAAAAGTATTTAAGGATGTGTTTGCTGTGTGTTTTTTAATACATGTATTTTTATATTAGAGATAGAAAATTGTATCGATAATACACCAAATTAATATTTTGTGTTAAATTATTGTCTTTTTTTGTATAAAATTAAAATATATATTATATATATTGTGTTAATGTGTAAATATATTATATATATTTTTTATAATATTTATAAAAATAATTTAAAAAAACACAAAGTAAACAAACTTATTTATTTACTGATTTGTTTAATTTAAAATAGTTGGAAATATGCCTAAATTGGCCCTTTATTGTTGGTGAAGTGGAGTGGAAATTGAAATGCTAGCTTTAGCTTAGTGGGATTAAAATTGACATGGAATGGAACTCCCCATTTTTCGATACTGTTTTAGTATATATACTCCTTCCGTTCCACGTACCGTGTCTGCTACACTGCAGACACGGTATTTTAGGAGGAGTGTAATTAGTAGATAATTAAGAATATATTAGTAAAAATAATTATTCGATAATATAAATAATTATAAATTAAAATTAAAATAACTAATTAGTTTAATTAAAATTTTTTAAAAAATAAAATTAAAAAGTTTAAAATGAGATTAAAGTGTGTAATTATTTTTCAAAAAAGAAAAATGACATGGTACGTGAGATGGACAGAAACGGCAACGTGTGGACATAGCGGATGGAGTATTTTTTTATTTCATTGTCCTTTAAACAAAATAATTTATTGAATATTTATTTCAACGAAGCATTAATTTAAATATTTAAAAAAATAAATAATTAATAAATTAAGTAACTGATGTGAACATGTTTTGAATATATATATATATTTATATATATAGAGGGCGTTGCTTGGTAAAAGTGAGTATAATTAGATGATGTTGACTGCTTCCTCCACTAGTATTGCAACAACTGCATTGTTGAATTTGTTTAAAAAAATTAATTTATTAATAAATCATTTGTTATAGTGGGTTTGTTTATTATTTATTATTATTATTATTTATTTTTTTAATTTTTATAAATATTTTTTTTATATTAAGATATAAAAATTTATATTGATAATAAAAATAATAATAAGTTTTTTTTTAAAAATATTTTTATTTGAATTTTTTTTTTTTTTTTTTATATATACCTGCAAAGAGAATCTAATATTAATTTTTATAAAAAAGTAAAATAAATATTAAAAATCATTAAAAAAGTATTGAACAATTAAATCTAATATTTTATATTTAATTGTTAACTTATTTTGAGTGAGAAAAATATATATTATACATTGTATTGTTACGTTTATATTTTATTTTTTTTTAGTAATATTTATGAATTATTCCACAAAGTGAACAAGCACATTAATTCTAAAGTTCTAATACTTTCTTCGTCCCACAACTATTGTCTTAGTTGAATTAGACAATAAATTTAAAAAATATCCATGAAAATAGATAAAATATATATATATATATTTTACCTCTGTGAGTGTATTGATACAAAAGACAATAACATTGCGTAATAAAAATTAAAAGTATGAATAATCTTATGATAATATAGTTATTTATGAAAACAAAAATATTATTTTAAATCTATCAAAAATACTAAATAAAATAATCTTATAGAGAGGTAAGTAATATTATATTGTAATATATAATCATTAATTGAATGTTCTATAAAATATACCACGGGATTATATATTATGAATTATATATTCATTCTGTCCAATAATAAAAAATGATATTATGATTTGTTTTGCACTATAATTATATTTATAAAGTAAATTATACAAATATAAAAATATTTTTAATATTAAGTATAATAATAAAAATAAATAAATAATGCACTTTTAATATTATATTATCATATTTATATTATACTTTCACCGTCATCCAATCATGTGTTTATTTGACCGGACATAAATTTTAAAAAAATATATAAAATTAAAAAATTTTTCTTTTTTTTTTTTTTATAAAAAAAAGTATTTTTTTTATGAAAAAAAGAAACGAGAATACATTCTAGCGTATATGATATATATAATTGCTTGAAACTAATTTATTATATATTCTGTTCACTACTGGAGCAGGGTAAATATGGAGGACAATCTCCCGAAAATGCCCTCCATTTTTCTAGCGCAAAACCCGAAAAGGCCCTCGAGTATCCCCTGGACTGCGCCGCATGGAATCACACCCTTGCCACCTGCCCGAAAAACTACCCGGTTTCCCACAACCCTTCTTCGCCGGAAACGGTCTGCCCGGAGTATTTCCGATGGATTCACGAAGACCTGAGGCACTGGAAGCAGACCGGAATAACGAAGGACATGGTGGAGAAGGCGCGCGCAACGGCGCATTTCAGGCTCACCATTTTGGACGGGAAGGTTTACGTTGAGAAGTTCCGCGAGTCGATTCAGACGCGCGCTTTGTTCACGATGTGGGGGATCGCGCAGCTGGCGAGGTTCTATCCGGGAAAACTGCCTGATTTGGAGCTAATGTTCGACTGCGATGATCGGCCAGTCGTGGAAGCGAAGCGTTTCCGCCATCCAGGCGCCGAGCCGCCGCCGCTGTTCCGGTACTGCTCGGATCGGCACAGCTTGGATATCGTCTTCCCCGATTGGTCATTTTGGGGCTGGTAATGTTCCTCTGCTTAGCCAAATTGTTCTGTCAACTCTTTGATTGCTTCAAAGCGTCAAAGAAATTGGTAGAAATACTGCAATTGCTTAGGAAGGGTAAAATTAGGGTTTCAGAGGCATAATTCTGGATTTCTTCATAACAAAAACACAAAAGTGATGCAAACAGGAAGATTGAAATTAGGAAACACAATGATGTAATTGATCTTTGTGGTATAGGGCCGAGATAAACATAAGGCCATGGAGAAGTGTGTTGAAGGACATTAAAGAAGGGAACAGCAGGACAAAATGGGAGGATAGAGTGCCCTTAGCCTACTGGAAAGGGAACCCTCATGTCTGTCCATGGAGGGGTGATCTTTTGAAGTGCAATGCCACACCAGAGCAAGATTGGAACACACACCTTTATGTTCAAGTAAGTCCGATCGATTCGCAGATTAGATTACGAAATGAAGTCACTCAATTTTGGTTGTGTTTCTGTGGGATTTTGTGGATTTGTTTGCTCGCATTGGTGATGCTTTAAAGTATTAGTTTTATCTCAAGTAGGCAATGCATTTTGTCCATTGTTGAAGCAATAACCAATCGTTTATGTGTGTGTGCCGACATGAAGTAGTGAAGGAGGTCTGTCGGGTAGAATTTGCAGTTATGGTGTCACATATGATGTGTCTTGGTTATTTGATCTTAGATTATTACTTGGATATCGAATGATGTTAGGACTCTAAATTCGGCAATCTGATTAGCATTCTAAAGGCAGAAGCTTGATTATTAGGAAGACTTGATTTTGTCTTTGAAATTCTTGTGTGAATCGAAGGGGATGCTGCTATGGTGTTTCATTTTTCCAAAAAAAAATTTGGGGTGTAATAGAACTTAATAAGTCCATTTTATGCATTTCCAGGATTGGGTTGAAGAGTCGAAAAAAGGATACAAGGAATCGAATCTTGGTGATCAATGCACCTACAGGTTATAATTTAGCTCTGATATTAAGTACACTAGAAACCAAAACATGGTTGGATTTTGTGGTTTTGTTGCTCGAACATACAGTAGTTCTTTGGGAATCATTTTAGGTACAAAATTTATATCGAAGGATGGGCATGGTCCGTGAGTGAAAAATACATTCTAGCGTGCAATTCCCCGACCTTGCTTATGACATTGAGATGGCACGATTTCTTCATTAGAGGCATGGTTCCTCAGCACCATTATTGGCCTGTTAGGGACAACGATAAATGCAGGTCCCTTAAATTTGCTGTCGAATGGGGAAACAACCATACGGACAAGGTGATCCTTTTTTGTCCCAAACTTGCAATAATATGCACAAAAATCATTATAATTTAATTAAATTGTTGAAATGTCTGTCTGATTGTTTGGTTGCTAGGCAAAGGCGATCGGGGAAGCTGGAAGCCGTTTCATCCACGAGGATTTGAAAATGGAGTACATCTACGACTACATGTTTCATTTGCTAAATGAATATGCGAAGCTCTTCAAGTACAAGCCCACCGTGCCTCCCAATGCAAAAGAGCTCTGTACCGAATCAATGGTTTGCTCGGCAGATGGTAACTGGAGGAAGTTCATGGAAGAATCCCTGGTGAAGTCCCCTTCGTATTCGGTCCCTTGCAGAATGCCTCAACCTTACAAGCCTCAAGAACTCAGGTCATTCATCGATAAACAGGTGGAGACGACTAAGCAAGTGGAGGCATGGGAGAAGGAATATTGGGACAAACAAAACAAACAGCAGTAGTATCCATCATAATACAATGATCTGCTTAGTGAGTGAAATTTTTCGATAGATTGTGAGATCTTAAATGCACATTACATGAAAATGTAATAATATATTCTGTAAAAAAACAAGACACATGAAAACATTGTAGCATTTGTTGTTTCTGTTAATTCTATACTTATCCTCTGTGATATTATCCTAATTATAAATCCTCAGCAGTGACTAAGGGCAAGAAAACAGGCGCCCTGCGGAGATGGAGAACAGGGCTGGAAATGGAAACGAAAAAAAGCATATAAAGATGCAAGAAAATCGGAAATGGAGACCAGGTGAGTGATGGTAAGAAATCGATAGATCTCTCTTCGATGTGTGTTTTAAAGAGCTCTTGATTTGAGAGTGTCCCAACTCATCTCACTGGGATCTGTTGCCTGCAGCTCGGCCTGAATGCCGTCTAATTCTCTCTTGAACCTGTCTTTTGAGCTTGCATACAGCATCTTAGTCCTCACCTTTGCTATATCGGGCGACCTGCAAAGAATTTGATTTGCTTACATACATATTAGTATTAAGGATTGATCATTTGATTGTTTTTTTCAGGTCGTTTCGAATGTTTGAGTTACTGACCAGGCGATGAAGAAGATCTTGCTCTTGTGGCAGTTCTCGTCGGTGGTGAAGTCATAGTCGAAGACAGCATAGCGGCAGTCGTTGTCAGGCAGGCTTTTGGTGAAGTCCTCGTAGGTCTCGGATTGGGTGCCGACCTTATCGACCACGACCTGCTGATTTTCATCATCAAGCCTGAATATGACATACCTGTGGCTCCTCCGCGCCTTCAGCTCCAGGAAGGCCAGCTTGCACTCGTCGTTGACAGCTACTCCGGACGACGAATTCGCCTGCGCAATTTTATTAATTTGCAGGTACTCAGATCACATACATACATATATATATATATATATATATAGATGATTAGTTTCATTTGATCATCATCAATTCATCATAGAATGGCTGAATCTGAAAAATTACATTACCATGTGTTTGTTGTTGTGTGTCTGTACAATGAATGAAGAATGAGAGGAAAATGAGGCAAGAGATGAATGAATGGAGATGTATATAGAGAGAGAGGAGAGAAGGAGAGAGAGAGAGAGAGAATGATCCTTGAGATGTGGAAGAAATGTTCAGAGGAGAGAGAGGTGGTTGAGGAGTTTTTATAGAGCTATTAAAAAGGAAAGAACAAACTAAACTATACAAAAACTGAAGGTGCATATCTAATTTTGCCTTTTTCTGAGGCTTATCATTCATTCATTATTTTCTTAACAGATTTCACCCTTCATCGAATCAAATCAATTCCATCCATTTTAACTTTTTATTTCTTCATTCCTAATAATAACATACATACATCTATCTCTTTCTCTCTATATAGTATATTATATGGATAACTCAAGTTGTTCAATAATTTTAAGTTCAATATATATATATATATATTTCTTATTTGTACACAATTTCGCCCTTTTATTATTTTAAATATAATTTATAAAATAACTATCTCAAAAAAAAAAAAAAAAAACTATGAAAAATTTACTATCATTTAAAATGCAAAAGTGTGTAAAGCAAAATAGACAATTATATTAGCACATATTCCAAACTATTTTGTGACCATAGGCAATTAAATTATTTAGAGACGAGGGAGTATAAAAGTTAGTTCAGACTCCAAACTAGTTTGTGACACGCAAGGTAGCGGGCCGGAAAATCCTAAGTTGGGGTTGCATGTAGACAAATTATAGGTAAAATTGTTCATAATTTTTATGTGGTTTCGAAATTCAGCGTAAAATTTTCTTATACTTTTAAAATTGCATGGCACCCTTTTATACTTTAAAAAACGTTGCATGAAACCCCACCACCATGAAAAGTCCTTGTATTATGAGAAGATGATTGTTTATCTGTATATTTTGCATGGCGAGGGTTTCATGCAATACTTTTAAAAGTATAAGGGGGTACCATGAAATTTTTAAAAGTAAAGTGGGGATTTACGCTGAGTTTTAAAACCACAGTGGAGTTTCATGAAATATTTTTTAAAGTATAAGGAGACACCATACAATTTTTAAAGTAAATGGGAGATCTACGATGAGTTTCGAAACCACAAGGGAGTTATGGACAACTTTGCCGACAAAATTTGAGGTTGCAAGACTTCAAATCAGTCGTTGAATATAATTCCGCCATGTTTAGAATCACTTCACACTTGAACCTATGCGACAAAAATATTAATGACAATGACATGATGGAGAAAATATTCTCCACATTTCATGCCTCAAACTTACTTTTAGAGCAACAATATCGAGAGAGAGACTACAAAACATATTCAAATCTCATTGTCTGTCTTTTGTTGGCAGAACAAAACAACAAACTTTTTTTGAAAAATTATGCATCTATGCCAATAGGTTCAAGCCCATTCCCTGAAGCGAATGCGATATAGTCTGCAAATCTAGGCCGCAGAAACAACAGACGCTGGAGAGAAGGAAGAGGTCAAAGACATTTATGTCCCTAGCCTCGTTGAAATAATGACAAAAAACCATACAAGCCCTTGAAGTGGCAAAACGAGCATAAAAGAAATTATGAAGATAAGTGTCACATGTGCGACACAAAGGGACACTGGTCGCGTGTCTACAAAACGCATAAAAACTTGGTTGATTTGTACCTAGCTTCTCGGAAAATGAAAAACACATCTGCTGATTAAATCCTGTTGAACAAAATAATGACATGCCTGAAAAACACGTCTGCTAAAATAAATCTCGCTAAATAGAATAATGATGTCCTAAATAGCGATATAATGCATCTTGATACAATAGACATTTTTGAGCACCCTGAAGGTGCAAGATATTATGTATTTTATTGCTCAATTACTTTTTGTACTACTCTACTTTTTGTAATTTCATATTTTTGTATCATTTTGTATTTCACGGCTATATTAATTTATTGTCTTTTTGTTTGTTTTATTTTGAAAAGAATATGGATAACATGTGTCAAAATACACATTACAAGGAGCACAATATTTGCCTAATTGACAGTACGACTACATACACAATATTGGAATACAAAAGACATTTTTCCTACCTGAAGTTGGAAAATCAAAAGTCAACACAATAAGTGGTAGTTGGAAAATTAAAGGTTGAAGAAATTTGTTGAGTTTCAATGATATTCGTAGAAACGGATATCACATTGAAATAATGAATTAGGAAAATTATAAATATTTGGTGATTACAAAAATCATCAATGAAAATAAGTGTACAATTGAGAAAGTGCCCCTGTTGTCTTTTGGCTTGCATTATACCAAAATAAATGTCATTGAAATGTATGTGGTAGAACTGAAGTCTACACAATCAAATGAATTTTTTTATTTGGCATGATCACCTCGGGCATCTTGAAAATACCATAATGAGGCGAATAATCAAAAGCTCAATTGACCATTCATTAAAATATCGAAAGATCTTGAATTCAAATGAATTTGCTTATGTTGCATGCTCATAAGGCAAATTGATAATAAGACCACCACCAACCAAAGTTGAGACTGAATCCCCATCATTTTTGGAAGATTCGAAGGTGATATATGTGGACTAGTAGTCCACCATGTGGGCCATTTAAATATTTTATGTTATTTATTGATGCATCATGCGAGATGGTCACATGTATGCTTGGTATATACACGTAATTTAGCGTTTGCAAAATCATTTACATAAATAATTAAATTACAAGCACAATTTCCTGATTATCCAATAGAGAAAATTCGTCTCAATAATGCTAGTGAATATTCATCACAAGAATTTGACGATTATTGCACGACTTTAGGAATAACAGTTGAACATCTTGTTTCTTATGTTCATACCAAAAAATGGTCTGACAAAATCTTTCATCAAAGGGCTGCAATTAATTTTCAGACTATTATTGATGAAATCCAAACTGCCTATTTCTGCTTGGAACATGCAATATTATATGCAACAACACTTATGCGAATTAGACCGACAAGTTATCAGAAATGCTCTTTAACACAATTAGTATTTGGAAAAGAGACCAATATTTCTCACATGAGGATTTTTGGATGCACAATTTGTGTGCCGATCGCACCACCTCAATATACAAAAATAGGCCCCTAACGTCATTTGAGAATTTATGTCAGGTATGTATCACCGTCAGTAATTAAATATATCAAACCACTAAGGGGTGATCTATTTACTATGCAATTCGCAGACTGTTATTTCAATGAAACAAAAATTTGAAATTGAGGGGATAATATAATCAATTGAAAAAGGAATTTTTTTGGAAAATACCTATGAATTTCCTGGATCTTCGTTCACGATATTGTGAATTAGAAGTATAAAGAACTATACACTTGCAACAAATTGTAAATCAGTTAGCGGATAAATTTAATGACTCCAACAGAGTCACCAGGTCATATATCCCTGTAGTAAAAGCACCGGTGAAAATAAATATTCTAGCAGGACAAATGAAAAGTGCCCAATAAATCTTCTGCGTGCTTGAAACGTGGCAAACCTATGGGTTCCAAGGATAAAAATCTTAAAAAAAAATGGTATTGATTAATGATTCAATCACTCAAACAATTTGTAATGACAAAGAACACATCCTTGAAGATGATGTTCCTAAAGAACTCGTCTCAAAAGAAAATGAAGTTATTGAAAATTCAATTAACTTCCCTACTATAAAAAAAAGTTGGAACCGAAAGGAAATATTCATTGAATGTTTTTGCATATAACGTAACACTTGATATAATGGAAAAATACGAGGATCCCGAAGCAACATCGGTTGATGAATGCCGAAAAAGAAACGATCAACCAAAACGGAAAGATACGATTCAGTCTGAAATAGACTCTCTGGCCAAATCTTTGGACCCATAATTCAAACACCAGAAGATGTTAAGCTAGTTGGATGCAAATGAGTATTTGTGAGAAAAAGAATCGAAGACAATGAATTTTTCCGATACAAGTGAGGCTTGTAGCACAAAAATTCTCACAAAGACATGAAATTGATTATGACGAAACATACTCTCAACTTATGGATGATATCACATTTAGATACCTCGTAAGCCTAACAGTGCATGAAAAATTTGATATACGCCTTATGGATGTAGTCATTGCTTATCGATATAGCTCACTGGAGAATGATATTTATATGATTTTTTTTATAAAGGATATGAAATGCCTGAAGCATGCAAATCAAATTATAAAGAATGTTATTCCATCAAAGTACAAATTTTTTTGTATGAGCTCAAACAGTCTGGACGCATGTGGTATAACCATCTCACCAAATGTTTAACCAAGAAAGGTTAAACTAACGACTCAATATTCCATGTGTTTTCATAAAGAAAAATTGATCAAAATTTGTAATTATTGCAGTATATGTTGATGATTTTAATATTATTGGGATTCCTGAAGAACTCCAATTAGCATGGAATATCTAAAAAAAAGAATTCGAACTCAAAGACTTTGGAAAGACAAAATTCTATCTTGATCTGCAAATTGAATATGTGGATAATAAAATATTCATTCACCAAATCTCTTATACTCAGAAGGTATTAAAATAATTTTATATGGATAAAGCACATTGAGTACCCCAATGATCGTTAAGTCACCTGATCATAACAAGAATATATTTAGACCAAAAGAAGATGATGAAAAAATACTTGGTCCTAAAGTACCATATCTAAGTGCAATGTGCACTCATGTACCTAACAAATAGCACAAGATCAGATATTGCATTTGCAGTAAATTTATTGACATGATTTAGTTCATCTCCCACTAAACAATATTGGATTGAAGTTAAACATGTTTAACGCTATCTCCAAGGAACAAGTGATCTCGGTCTACTTTATTTAAATAATTCTCGACTTGAGTTATGGCAACTCCAACCATACACCAAATATGGAGTTTGGTGCATAAAATAGAGATGAATTCCTCCAATGCACTCTATATTTGGTGAAAATGTTGTAGCAACGCCATTTTTGGTGTTGTGCTCTTCTTTTTTTTTTTTTTTTTTTTTTTTTAATTTTGAATTTTTTTGAAATTTTGAATATTAATTAATTAATTTTTAATTTTTTTAAAAGATAATATTAATTGTAAATATAAAAAATAGTTTAAAATAATATA